AAGTAAGGAAGCAGTCATTCATTCTGCTTCTCTCTTTCCCCTTCAGATTTCCAACTCCTTGCGTAGAATCTAGGTTTTCCATTCCTCATACTTGTCAGTGAACACGTGTAACCTGGGATACTTTTTACATTGGTCCTAGAAACTGGTATCTGCTTTCTCTGCCTCAGGAGGAGGAGAGGACCTCTTCATGTGTTCCATCCTTCTCTTAGCAATGCTTTTACTGATATGTTCAAAATACTGGAAAATGGTTGTATTCCTATTCTTCTGTAAGAAGAATACCGTTGGGTAATGGAAGTATTCAACTCCCAGGTATTCCTTTAAACAAACTCTCTTACTGGCACAGAGAAAGCGCAGAGTTTATCACCTTGAGTTTGTGCCTTTCCAGACTTCAGGACAAATTTACCAGTTTAGAACTGGAGCAATTCATAGCCACTCAAGGTTGATGTATTTGAGGTTTTCTTGTAAATAAAGGAAAGCAGAAATATTAAGAAGTCAAGAAAAGAGGATGCCTAGCAGTAAAAACAGAAGAGTAGATATTTATGCTATAGACTCAGTGATGTTTTTAAGATCTCTGAACTATTTTGCTTACCACTACTAGTTATAAAAGTCCTTTCGCTTAGTGGGTTGCTAGTTTTACCTTTTTGTTTTTCGGTGTTGTGTTTTGATCCTGTTTAACTTTGTGTTACTCTTATTTAATGTAGCTATTATTTCTGTCAGGTAGTAGAAACTAAATGCTGGCAAGGACAGTTTGACATTTGGGGTTTTTGTTCTTTTGTTTTTTCTTTTTTAAGGTTCCTTATAGGTTGCATGCTGTGCTAGTTCATGAAGGTCAAGCTAATGCAGGACACTACTGGGCATATATTTATGACCACCACCAGAACAGATGGATGAAATACAATGATATTTCTGTGACAAAGTCAACTTGGGAAGAGTTGGAACGGGACTCTTTTGGTGGTTACAAGAATTGCAGTCAATATTAATGTATATCAATGATAAGGAACAATACTTGATACAAGGTAATGTTATGGATATGTTTTCTGCATGATATAGAAAAGCCGAATATATTGCTGAAGCAAGCTTCATTCACGTGGATTTCCAGATTTTTTTAAATGTTTTTAATAATTATTGAAAGTTCTATTTATGCTCATAACTGTTAGTCAGATTGTTTTTGTGGGTGGAACAGTTGCTCTTTGCTTTTACGTTAGTAAAGATAATGCCAGTGTTTCAGCATTATTAAGAGAGCAAAATAAACTAAGTTTGCTAATTCATAAACTTTTTTAAGTTTAATTCATAAATTTTGGAGATGTGATCTCTCTGAGGATTAGCACAGAAATACGGAAATACAGAAATGACCCTCTTGACACTAAAATCCTCATGTAGCTTTTTTTTTTTCATAAGCTTCAGAACTCTTATGAACTTTACTGGAGCGTGGAAAGTTGAAGCTTTATGCAGTGTATTGAAATGTGAATAACTCAGCCCTACCAACCACGCGTTAGACCAAAGTAATACATGGATTGGGAAATTTTTTTTTTTTCAGGTTATGTAGTAGTGTGTGACTATAAGGCTTGCATGTAAGCGATTGGAGAGAGGGCAAAGATCCCTTAGCATGAGTTTTGTGGGACCTGATAATGGTGCATGGGGAACTGACTGTGAAAATGGCTAGAGCTTCAATAACAGGTGGTGGAAAATTTTCATGTTCCTGTTTTTTCATGGGGCACAAAGCTAGAGTGTGCACTTGTTCAGTTTCTAAATGAGAACCGATACTAACCTTGACATTTCTAGATTGCTGTGTTAGTAGTGGATTTATAGCCCTAGGGCTTATAGGCTCCATAGAGTGGCTGTGCCACTCTGATTAAGGCTGAGGCCTGCTTGCTGGGGCCAGTTACAGCTGATGGAACCCCCAGGATCTGGTATGCTCTCGCAGACACCATTTTCAAAGTAAAAAGGAAGGCTGTTTCATGTAGTTGGTGTTCTTATCAGTTGACTTCCCAAATTGCTGTAGGCCCACTCTCCTTCCCCTTTTCTGCTGGAAGGTTGAGTTGTGTGCAGCTCCATGTGGCAGTAATGCAGTTGAGCTATGGTGGGTTTTTGTGATTTCTCTTTTCTGAATGCTCACAATCATCGCGTGCTCATGGCCCCAAAGGCTCATCTTTCAAAATGGCAATGATCTGACAGTGTCTTAGAGCGTCTAATCCAAAGATGGGAAGAGCAGTAGCCATGTGTCTCAGTAGCAGAGCAGTGCCCAACAGATAATAAAACCAGTCGAAAGTAACACAACTTTGGGGTTTTGGTGCTGTACTGTATGTTTCCGGTAATTTACCTGAGGAAACTTGTTGAACATACTTTCTTTTTCCCTATTCTTTCTTTTTCTGAAATTTGTCTTTCATGTTGCTGCAGAGGAGTTAAACAAAGAAACGGGGCAGATCCTTGTTGGAATGGACACGTTACCTTCTGATCTAAGGGATTATGTCAAGGAAGACAACAAACGTTTTGAAAAAGAACTCGAAGAATGGGATGCAGAACTTGCTCAGAAGGCACAGCAGGAGAAGTTGTTATCTCAGATACCTAGGGCACCAGCGCCCTCACCTGCTCCAGGTTAGCTTCTACCTGTTTGTAAAAGGAGTAGAGCTAAAAGTTGCTGGGTTTTGTATATATTGTTTTGCAGCTTAAGAAAGGAAGAAAAAGTTAGTTTGTGTAGTCTTGAATTGTAACTATTTACTTGGCCAAGGTAACTGCACTTGAAGTTTAGTCTGTTGGGATTTTTTTTCTTTTTTTTTTTTATTTATAGAAAAAAGTTATTTGCTGGTTCTTCTGCCTTTTCCTTCCCAGTAGTGCTTAGCTTTTACAAATTTTTTTTTTCCATAGTAATTTTGGGCTTTTAAGATATGTAACTGTCCTGGTTTTGGTTAAAACAGAATCTGTTATCTTTTAGTGAATCTTCTTACACCTAAGTTCTTCTAAGTAACTGCATTTTTCTGAAGCTGGCGGCATATTTTACAGACAGTGTCCGCTGCAAAGCTGATAACACCTAATGTTTGTAGTTACACTGAGGTAATGGTAGGAAAGGAATGCAGAAAAAGGCCCCTGTTTACAATTATCAGCTCCGTTATCCCCCATTAACAGGTCTCACCAGTCTGTTTTGAGAATATATTAGTCCATAAGTGATGTATATTCTTCCATTCAGAGTGATTGAGTAAAGACATGCCTTCTTATCTTAAATTAGTACAGAATTTAGATCTGAAGAGAAGAATAATTTATTTGGTGTGATGTTTTGCATAGAGTTAGCAATAGTACAGCCCACTTAAGAAATTATGTAAAAACAATGGTGTTAAAACTGTGGAAAAGGCTCTGAACAGTAACAGTGAAGCCAATGCTATTAAGAATCTAGCTAACACAGACTACTGGCAGTCTGGCTGTAAAACATATGCCTTCTTTGACACAGAAAAACCTATCAGCTTTTAGGTTACATCCACCTTTTGCTCCATTGCAGAAGGCTGTATGTACATTATGTGAAAGATGACCTGATGGGTTTGTGTAGTGAGACTGCTGACAAGATGTTCTCATGCTTGTATTTGGGGACTTTATCAATGCTTATAAATATCTCAAGGGTGGGTGCCAGGAGGATGGGGCCAGACTCTTTTCAGTGGTGGCCAGCGACAGGACAAGGGGTAACGGGCACAAACTGAAGCATAGGGAAGTTCTGTCTGAACATGAGGAAGAACTTCTTCACTCTGAGGGTGACGGAGCACTGGAACAGGCTGCTCAGGGAGGCTGTGGATTTTCCCTCTCTGGAGATATTCAAGACCCACCTGGACGCAGTCCTGTGGAGCCTGCTGTAGGTGACCCTGCTTTGGCAGGGGGGTTGGACTAGATGACCCACAGAGGTCCCTTCCAAACCCTACCATTCTGTGATTCTGTATTTGAGTCATTAAGACTGAGCATGTATTTCTCATAACGATCTATGACTATAAACTGAATGTATAAAGTGCAGTGATTTAATGACTTTTCTCTTTCTGCAAACTCTGTGGAGAGTGGCTTCATCTTCTATATATTTTGACTTCACAGACACTTTGAAACTGGTTTTAGTTCTTCTGTTAGTAATGGAAAGTACTAAATGAGTGTTCTGTTTATCTGCCAGAATTTGCTTTCATCATGTAAGGAGTATAAGACACTATTTATCCTAATCATTTTTATTGTCCTCAAGTATGGGAGACGGAGATTTACCTGAAGTCAGAAGAATATAATGTGTTGATTATTTTGTGAAGTAAAAATACATCTGGCACTCAAGTGGCTGTAGTTCCTTCCATATATTGGGTCTGTATGCCACAGAAAGTCCAAGCAGAATCTCATTTTTTGTTCTCAGTCATCCCCCGTATGACTGATGAACACCGCTCACTCAAGAGCCTCAGTTGGTCTATAGACAGGACAAGTCTGTTGTTCCTAATGTAAAACATGGGTCCATTTATATGAAAGTGTTCAAGATTACTGGAGACAGACTGGTGTAAAGTTGTTTTTGTGAATGGTGTGACCTGCCCTGCATTTTCTGTGTGGGTTACCTTATCTATAAGACAGTGATCCAAATAAAACTAATAAATTCAGAATTCATGCTTATGTTAACACAAAAAAATTTTATTTTATTTCTGTCACTAAGTTCAAGCAGGAGAACCAGAATATTTAGAGCAGCCATCAAGAACTGATCTTTCAAAGCACTTAAAAGAAGATTCTGTACAAGCAATCAATAAAGCTTTAGCTGAACAAGAAGATAGAGGTCCAGAAGCTATAATGGATATGGTGAGGTTATTTTGAAGCTTGAAATACTTCGTTTTTGCTTTTATTTTGCAAATGGGAACGATACAATAGCTGAGAAAAGGGGGTGTGTGTGGAAACTTTGAACTGAAAACTGCTGTTTCCTCAGGGACTGTCCAACACTAAAGTCCATCCAGAAAGTTTGTGCTACAGTAATGGGTGTAGTAGAAGAAAAATACTAAGATAGATGTCTTCTATGTGATTAAAGTACTTGTCAGGAGTACAGCATATTGTTCAAATAGCAATCGTGTTTGTGCCCACCATCTCTTCAAAATGTTAGGCAGCTCCATTTATTTTTGAGGACTAAACATTGACGTTCCATGTAAAAAACTTGGAAAATACTGCTTCAAACATTCAGGTTTTTATCTGAAAAATATAAGCTTATAACTGAATTCCCTTGAAAGACCTACGGAAGTTAAAGTAGTTTTTAAAATAAGGGTTTTTTCAACAGCATTCTGTGGCTTTAATGCAAATTCACAAATTGATGAAAATTATTTTTTTGATTCATCAGATGCATATATTGACTTAAAATGGTTGTAGGAATTAGTGCTGAGTGATGTAGTTTTCACTTCATAATTTCCAGTTCCTCTTAGTATTTGTTCTAACTGCTTCATGAGTTATTAATGAAACTAATATTTAACAGGATTTGTTTTTTTCAGCAAATATTTTTTTGCTTCCCTGTAAGTATATAGATAAATGACCAATGTATTTGCCACAAAAGCAAGTGCCTTGAAAGTAATACATGCATCTGTCTTGGAACTGTATCCGTAAGGATAAAACATACGAAATGTACAGTATAGCTTCCTTAGGCACCCCTAGTAACTGCTAGAGATACGAACAGTTTAGATCTGTGCAAAACTTGAAGCATGCTCCCTGAATTCGGGTACGAATCCTTATTAAAAACAGTCTAGCCCCAGATGTCTTTGAGGCCAGCGGGAAAGTCCTCTTAAAGCCTTTGAAAATGACGTGACAACTTGTTGACTGTTACACCTGAGGTGTTTTCCATCCCTCTCTCCTGTAGCATCAGGTGTGCAGAGAAGCACACTTTCTCTGCTAAGCTGAAATCAAAGCCGACAGGGAAACTAATCCGACCCTGGATGAAGAGATGCTCTGCCACTAAGGCTTTAGGCTACTGCATATCTCACTTTTCTGAGTTCTCAGAATACACAACAGCTTAGGGGGAGTCTGTTTAATACGAGTCACCTCCAACTGAAGGGGTAGCTATGAAGCTACCAAACCCATATTTTGCATGATGCTGTCCTCTTTCTAGGGTCTGTGGGCATCCATCCTGGTGGGACATGGGAGAATCTTACAGACTTGATTCCATGGATCAAGTGTTTTAGTTTAGGCTGATGACACTTTGCACAGTCATCAGCCTTAAGACTTCACAAGACATTGGTTGAGGAGCCACATGGGGAGCATCATGATAGGCTCAATGAGACATACGCAAGTCATCTTATTCCAATATTTTCACTGCATTCTTCTGCAACAAGGTTGATGGCTCTTTAAAAATAAAAGCAAAAAAATCCCAAACCATGCAAGCTCTTTTATTTAGAAAAAAATGTATCTCAGCTGTTAGGATCTAAAGCCAATTTCTAGCTCATCTGAAAGGTGCTCTGTTAATGTTTAAAAACTGCGCTCTGTATACCCAAATTCAGCTTACGCAGAATTGTGCTTCCTTCCCAGTGTATTATTATGCTTTTTAATTATTCTGCTTCCATATACATTCTGACATGCAGGCATATATTCCTTTGCTCCGCTTTGTTTGTCCATTTTAAAAGAAGGAAAGCAAACATCAGAACATGTAACAGACAGGATTGTAGGTTAGTCACCACATGATCATTTGTGTCCATTTTCTACCCTTTTGTCCTTTTATTCTACCTTATGATTGCACAGTCTTCCTTTGTATTTATGCAGTGCTGGGTGTAAGTAGATACTATGTGTATTTCTGGAATCTTTGTTAAAAAAATGAGATTATTGTAATAGTTGCAGAACAAGTAACACGGTAGTCTCCGATTGCTTAGATTAGAGTCAAGGTTTAAGTTCTACATATGTTGTAAACTGGCTGTTATACAATGATAGTCAATAGCAGCTGACATTTGTCTCCATTGTTGTTTGAAACTTACTTGGACATAGCAAGAATTTCAGTGACTAGCATAATCTTCCCCTGATTTTCTGTCTAATTATTCTTCTAAAAAAATAAACCTGTTGAATGTAGTGTACCTTTTAAGGATTCTTTCAAAAATCCTGCTAGAGGCTTCTTTGAAATGATGAAATCCTTTTAATAATTATGGCTTAATTTTAAAATGTGCTGCTTAAAAACGGTGAAACTAAGTAATTAGAGAATATAAGTGATATTTATATTTTTTCAGAACTTCAGCAGTGCACATCACTTTACTTGATCAGCCTGTCAGTTTGCGTCTGTCTGTAATTTTCTTTTATTATTATTTTTTTCCCCTACACACATACTGATAATGATTTTCTTCTGCAGAGCTCTGATAATGCCCCAGCTCAATCAGCTCCTAACCAGCGAGTTGTAGAGGTGGCGATTCCTGATGTAGGGACTTTTGTGATTGAGTCAGAGGAGGGGGGTTATGATGATGAGGTACATCTGATTGCAATTGTGTGCACCGCTCCTCCTCGGTGCTTTCTTGTGCTGCCTGATGAGAACTTTTGGCATGTTTGCACATCATGACACCTAACAGGTTTCTGCAAAACTAAATGCTTAGCGATTTGTAACCTTAACTATGTCTTAATTTGTAACGAAGTGTGAAAGGAATGCACTAGCTACTCTAGTTGGGCACGCTTTGCATGGTACTGTTCACACTGGAGGTGCATTTGTTTTTTTAGCTGTGGGATTTGAATGTTTGTGTTAGGCCAGATAGCCTTTGAAATGCTGCTGATAGACTGTAGACTACTGCATTATTTAAAAAAATACCAGGATAGTGAGTGATGTTCTTAATGTTTGTGCTTTCTTGTCAGTCCAATAAAGCTGATGTTCAAGTCTGGTGCCTTATTTGCCAGGGTTAAGCTTTTCGGACTTCAGGGGTCAAATTATCCATGGAAATAACGTGAAACTGATACAGCTGGTGGAGTTGACTCTTGCAAAGCTTAAGAAAAAAAAATTAATTTCTCCCAATTGAGACCAAGAGTGGTGTGTGTACCTAGCACTACTTGAGGAGCAAATGTGAGCCCCGTGTTATCCCAGTGGATGTAATTTTCTGCTGCACTGTTTTAGCAGCAGAAAGCAGCGCTGTCAGGTGATCAAAAGTGTCCTGCCTTGACACTACTTATTCCATGTTTGTTTTTGTTGGGGATAGCATTGGTGCAGCCCATATTCTCTGGGGGCTGAGCAGATGTTCTTGGTGGACTCTGGGGAGCTTTTGCTTCCTGGGGCCACTGGATATTTCAGGTCAGTCTGCCCTGTAATTGTCATCAGTTGTAACTGGGAGTATGGGATGGGGAATACAATTATTTAATTGACATTGCCATACTGAGTTTGGCTTCTCACAGATGTGTAGTCTCCTCCTTTAAAGACGTGAAGATTTAGCCTCACCTAATGACCTGCTTTTTGGTTTTTTTTCTTTTTTTCACTGTTGTCCCCATGCCATTGTATTTCTAGAAGACGATAGCTTTCTTCCCTATTTCCCTGTTCCTTTTTTAAGTGTACTCAGGTTTTTTTTAATGTTGTTCTTATGTGTAGGAAACTCTTCTGGAGAGTTTAGGGTTCTTCATCTTCTGTTCTTAAGGGCCAGCTTTTGTTGCTGTGCCAGAGGGAGGGAGGGAGTGTTTCTCTTTGCTCGCAGATAATAAAGAGGAAAGGCCTTTCTGAGTAACCTAGATGTATCAAATTATCTGTATATAACTGATGTGAATAGCTGTGAAATGTGTGTCTTATGTCTGGCTTTGTATTTGTTAAATGTTTTGAGTTTAGAAGAATTTGTCTGCAAGTGCTTCAGCGACTAGTTGTATTTCCAGCAATGGATCCCTTACTTTGATGCTGAAACATGTATAAAATGCAGGCAGTGTAGTTCAGTATGTTTTTAGTATAGTGTATATAAAGTGTGATTGGGTGATTTTTGTACTTGAAACTTTTTTTTAAATCTTTCGGTGGCCATAAGTAGCACTCATTCAATATGCAGTTTCTGAAGGATACTAATGCTGAATGATGCATGTTCCCTTCCTGAGAAGTTTTGACTGTGTAACTTTTAAATTGTCTTTGACACAGTTCTTTAATTTTTTTGTGAGCTTCCTTTAATCATATATTGTTACAGTAAAAATATATAGACATACCATGACTGATTTGCAGAATATGCACACCAGATCTATATTGAAGATTTCAATGCCATTTCAATGTATGCATGCATTAAGTTGCTTCTTATCTTGCATGAGACTAAAAGCATATGGAATTTGGTCATTAAAATATTAATCATTCAAAACTTTTACCTTAAATCCCTTGTGGCAGGTCATGCTGACCCCGAACATGCAAGGTATTATCATGGCTATAGGTAAAGCCAGGAATGTTTATGACAGGTGTGGGCCAGAAGCAGGGTTCTTTAAGGTACAACTAACATTTTCAACTTTTTCTCCTCTGACGTTTCTTGTTAGATATGCCTTCTCCCTCTACCCTTTGATGCGTATTAAGACTGTTCCAGCCTTTATACATACTCTTCTATGATATCAGTTCTCCATTTAGATATTTCTCACTTGAAAAATAGACAGCTATTTCCTGTTGATTCAGCAGTATACTACCTTGATATCAGTAGCTTATATACCTTTCTGCATTTTACCTTTCTAATAATAGTAGCAAGTAACATGAAACCTAGATGTATAATCAGTAAGAATATGTTTTTTTTTCCCCTGTTAATAACAAAAAAACATGCCTTCGCTAGAGTGTTTGAGACATCAGTTTTTTCACCCAGGGACATCAGTGTTCAGTCATTTGTTGCTTATTTCAAGGAGTTGTTCTTGTTTTGTACTCCTTAAAAATATTTTTAGTAAACCCAAATTGCTTTGTTTTGCGTAACTGCATAGATGATATGATAGTATTTGTTTATGCAGTGGGAACAAGACATTAGGCTTTTTGTGGTTATTAGTTTTCACAGTGATACCAGATTTAAAAATGTGTTAGTTGTCTTAAGTACACAAACTTCTGAACATTTTTAGCTCACGATCTTCTGAATTTTCAGGGTATTAGAAGGGAAATTACTCTGACATGACGCAAAATCCTCTCGGATGTGACTTGGAGGGGAGGAAGAAGTTTCTTGCTTGTTGTTGAGTAGCAGTCTGTTTTCTTTTTGTTATGGTGTAGTTGTGCTAGAAGAAATTGCAAAAAAAAAATCCCCAAAGAAACAAAACCCCCCAAACAAACAACAACCAGCCAAACAAAAACCAAACATACACACTTCCAACAAAAATTCTCATTCCTTGGTAAGCAAGTTGAAATCTCATGGGTTGGTTTGTTTGTCTGTGTGGGGTTTTGTGATTGATACTTAGAGAAGTGTTTTGACCATAACATGTGTTTGCAGGGCTGTCTCTGTTAACTGTGCCTGCTCTCAGGGAGCAGAGAGACACCTGCCACAGCCTCTCTTTAGTGAAATCTTAATGAAAACATGTCAATCTTTTTATTTTTTTTAAGGTGAAAAAATGCTAATTTGATCAAATGAAACTCTTTACCAGAAAGGTTACACTGCATTACTTTTTTTTTAATATGAAGGGTGTTCTGGTGATTTTAAAACAGAAATGCAGTTCAAAATAAAATGAGGTTTAGTGCATCGGAGTTATCAAGACAATGCTCAGCTGAAATGTTTTTAGGTCTTTAATTTTGAATGCTTTAACTTTGTCACTTCACGAGGCACAGAATTTGTCTTTGAGAAAATGTTCTGACACTAAATGTTTGGAAAGTAAAAAAGTTTCTTTACTCATTTTCCGTTTGCAATAACTTAGATGAGGTGGAACATGCTTCCATTTTGAGGAGTACCTTAGTATGAACAGAAGCAAATACAGTGGTCCTACTTAGTAACAAAATTCCTATTTTGAAACAGCAGATGAAATCTCATGTTACCTCATAAATTTATTATAAAAGCCTCTGTGATATTTTTATTACTGTTATACTCTGGGTTTCTTTATGTGTTTGTTTTTTATAAAGTGAGTTTTTATAGAGAATTGTGGTTTTTTTCAATGATGGATTTGTTTTAGTGTAACCCAGGTAAAGCCCATTTGATGCGGGCTGTTGTTACTGTCACTCCCCTTTCAGATCCCAGGCTTGAGACGTGACTAACACAAACCCATTAAGATATGTCTTGATCAATGACCTCTTCCAGTCATCCTTTTTTAAACTTTCTAGACAATTTGTTGTATACTGATTGCCTTAAGATCTTTTATATAACATTATCGATGAGGAAATGAAAGCATGTAATACTTTTTTCTACCTCTACTCTGTGTAAAGAAATAGTGTTATTTGTCATTATACGTAGGATTTCTGAATCTGTAGTACACATTTTATTTAAATATGTATATAAAAATATAGGCTTTGTGTTGTATTTTGTCCTACTTCTAAGTAAGTCTCTGAAAAATTAAATTTTCATAAATTCTCTGCAATTCAGTAATTCTCTGAAAAATTAAATTAAATTTGAAAAATTAAAAATTAAAGCAAATACTTTTTGTTTCTGGCCTACGCCAATAAACAGGGTTCGATTGCATAGTTATCCATGTTGGTTTTCTAATGCTAATGCTTCTGATGTAAGATGATAGAAACGCTGTCTGTGTGTTTTGATATTTATAGTTGATTCTCCGAAACTTCCTTTTTAATGATAATGCATATGATTAGTATTTAAAAATATTGATGCAGAACATTCTCTGAAGTTTCGAAGTTCTCCACACACTCTGTGTTTACGCCTGTATGAAGAGTATCCTACCCAGCTGTTTAGTCCTGAAACAAAACGTGTATTCGTGCAGGATGGGAGCCCAAATTTCTGGTAGTTAAATGTGAAGAAGTTACCTGCTACTGCCAGTATTTCAACATAAAGGAATTTGAAATATTGAATAGGGTATTTTTTTGCCTGCTTTGGAGCTTTATTTTGTGTGCATGTTGTATTCAAACTTTGCTAATGTGGGAAGCTACTGTGTTAAGTTACTTGTTTCAAGTTGACATTTAGTGTTAGCAAACAATGTGATCACCTCCCTATTTTGACAGATAGATTATGGAGCATATAAACATTTGTCACCATTTTTCTAATTATTTTCCTTGTTGTTCTTGTTCATGCTGTATAGTTTCAGTGAAGAATATCTAATAAACATAATAGATGATGTTCATTAAAATCTAATGTGCTGGCAAAGCTGGAAAAGTAAACACTTCTGATGACCTCTAAAGTCAATCTATAATATTCAGTGAGGATTCCGCCCTGCTGTATAGGAGACTAATACTATTCATATTAAATTATTATTTTCTTTAGAAATCCTACAATTTAATTTTTGTTGAAAGACATTTGCCATTCCCCCTTGTGTTTCCAAAATCATACATACTGATTAAACTTTCTGTAGAATTTGTTTTATTTATGTATTTGCTTTTTAACCGTGTGTTAGTTACCTTTTTTACCTTATGAGATTTTGGAAGATTCCTTTAAGTAAAGTGTCTGAAATCTTACACTGGTTTTGGATTCTAAATGCTTAAAGAAGCCTCTCTAGGGATTGGATAAACCTTCTCATGGGGAGAAGTAGCACAGGATTGGAACTGCTTTTGAAGCAATGGTCTACCTGGGATTTTGGCATGCCTAGTTGTGGAGAGACAGCAACAACTTTCCCATTTGTCTGGGTGGTTTTTTGTTTGTTTGTTTGTTTTTTTTAAACGTAGTTCAGACTTGTTTGGAGGGTGGAGTATGGAATTGTTAAAATATTACGTTGTAGGCAAAAGGCCATGGGACATGAATTACTCTGTTAGTGTCTGTGACGTTTAAAAATTAAAAGCCAGAAAGAATAATGTGTATTTTAAAAATCATTTAGGCAATTAAATTGGAATACACACGCCTGCTAAAATTAGCCCAGGAAGATCCACCACCTGAATGTGATTACCGTTTGCGTCATGCAATTGTTTACTTCATCCAAAACCAGGCACCAAAGAAGATAATTGAGAGAACATTACTGGAACAGTTTGGAGATCACAATCTTAGTTTTGATGAACGGTAATAAGATCTGCATGCCTCATTTCCTGTGTTCTTGAACGTTCTCTGATGTGTAGAGATGCCCCTTTGTGTTCAGATAGTGTGCCTAATAGAGGGAAGACTAGTGTGGTTGGTTGGCTTTATCTTCTGGTTAATAGCTTGCAAGTGTATTTTGTAAAAAGAAGAAAAATACCATCTTTATAAAAATCTCTACAAAAAGAATAAACAAAAAGTTGGATTTCTGTTGGTATGAAATAAGGAGGAATACTCAGTGTTGTTCATAATTTTGCACATAATTTCTCTACCTTCTTTCAAAACACTTGTGTAAGGCTGTGTAGTTTGTGTTTCTTGACTGCCCTGAAAGCCAGCAGTGGACTGCAAAGCCTGACAAGCTAGATGGGTAACTTAAAAGCAATGTCTCTTTTCCACTCGAAATTCCATATATTTACTTATTCAAAGAAAGAAATAAATGGAAAAGTAGAGAAGATTAGTCTGTTTTCTCTGTAGTGAATAATCCTCTAATGTTACTTTTGCAAAGTAAATGCCGGGGAGTTTCAAGCCATCTGAACTTTCAGTTAAAAAGAAAGACTGAGAAAGGTGGCAATTCAACAAAATAAAACCAAAGTAATTCTTAAATAGCACAGGTGTCCATCACATGTACTTCAAAAGTATGCCCTCTCTTGCTAATTATACAGTGTGTAGTAAAAAATACATTTTCCACAGTGTTTTTGTACTGTTTTGCACAAGGCTGTAGTTTATATTGTTTGAGGCTGTTGTCTTTGTATGGATAATGTCCTTTGTGAATTTCCAGTAATATTCCGTGGTTTCTTACTGCTTTTTGTAAGGTGCCGCAACATAATGAAGGTTGCTCAAGCTAAACTTGAAATGATAAAGCCAGATGAAGTTAACATGGAGGAATATGAGGTCAGTATTTTTTATGCTTTTAATTAAATTGTAATGTGAAATAGTTATCAGTAAGCTGAATTTTACCTTCACAAATTTCTTCTTGTCTTACACTGAGAAGTTACAAATGGTTATTGAAAGACCATTTATTTGTAGGAAGGCTGCTCTGATCAGATGATCTAAAGCTGTTTTTTTCCCCATCTCTAATTCCAATGACGTGAGCTGTAAATAAGTGTCAAGTTTGAGTCTGTCCTTACTACTTAACATGTCTCGACCTCACTAACAGTATTTCATAATTTATCACTGTATGAGCCAACTGGCTTTCTCTAGTCAGAAACAGCTACCAGTGAAGGCGTGAGAGTAGTCTAAGCCCAGCCTTATGCACCTTGAGAACTGGGTCACAGGCACAGTTATATTTGTGCTTTTCCTCCAGCTGTCTCTGCAGCCGTTCCCATTTTCTTCTGAGCACCAGATTCTCGTTTGCTGAGACCATACAAAACCAGTTTATGCATTTGATTTTTCCTCCTGTGCTATTTAGAGAAACCTGGAAAGAAGAAGAGAGCAAATCTCAGACATGAAATATTTACCAAAATAATTCATTTTATGTTTAAAGCTAAGCTGTTTTTTAGCATCAGTTTCAACTTTGCGTAATACTGTTCATTAAGGCCTCTTAACAGTGGGTATTTATGTCCTAGGCAGATTTCAGTGCACCACTTAAACCTCATTGTTGTGCTGTTAGGTCCAAACAGCTTGTTCAGGAAAACTAGGGGTATAATCTTTCCCTCAACAAACCAAATGAAAAATAGTTCCTTGTCATTTTTCATTACCGGATTCAGGACCTACAGTAGATGCTACTACATTGAAGTGTGCCCTCCCTAGCCTGTGAGGGGAAAGGACTCTCATAGTGGGATTTCAGTTGCATTTTTTAGGCTGTGCAAGGCTCAATCTCGTACCATTTTCTGAATGGGATTGCACAGGTAGAATAAACAATTCTGGACTTAGCTTTAAGAGTGAAAGAGTAGGCTGTCTACTATTCCCCTGCAGATACATACCACTTTTTTTGCTGCTGAGGCAGATAGTTGCTGGTTTATCCAAAGATTATACCGGTATTTGTCCTGTATAGTGAGATGGCATTTTATGGACCCTTTTTCATACTCTTTGTGTTGAATCTGTAAGTGGCTGTGTATTGTGGTATGCTGTCCCCTATTCTAACTTTAATAAGCAATGGAAAGTTGGCTACTAACCAACTGCAGTAAAAGCACCTTTTTCACTTGGAGCATTTACCTGTAAGGTGTACCAGTAGTCACTTTGTATAAATGGCAGTGCAGCAAGATAAATGTTGCTCCAGTATAAATACCTCCACAGTCTGAATGGCATATGATTTTTTTTTTGTCACTTCCAATCTAATGTATTCAGGCTTTTTCTATGTCGTTCTTATATTGAAAGTTAAGCTTAATGTTTAGTGTATGAAAAAGCTTTCTAACACTTTCTGAGTAAATAACTGAGTGTAATGTAGGGAAGAAAAAAAAGGCTATTAGCTCTCAACTGTTTTTGAGAAGAAGGGGATCTCATATAGTTCTGACTGGTTCTCCAAAGATGCTTTGTGTTCCTTTCAAATGGTAATGCATTCTGTAAAAATAATCTCATTTAGAAATATTTTAGGTATTTAAGAATTTTTTTTTTTGAGGGATGGGGGATGCAGGCAGACTTTTCCCCACATGCAAGCTTACTAAGAGTCCTTAGCACTTACTGTTAGCATTCAGCACTAAGTAAAGTGTGTGAAAAAAGATTTGTATTTCATGTTTGTGGATGAAATTCTATATACCCTTTCTTATATGCAGAGATGGCATCAAGACTATAGAAATTTCAGGGAAACAACCATGTTTCTCATGGTAGGATTGGAGTTTTTCCAAAAAAAGAGGTAAGTGGTAGTATAGAACTCAAATGTTTTAGAGCTATTTGAAGGCAAAATGTAATATTGATACGCTATTTTTAAAATTAAGAGTTATTTAATGTGTTCTTCATTTTATTTAAGCATTTATTAGGTCCATTAATGTCTTCAGTCTTGCATCTACCTCAAAGTTTCCCACAGCTTCTTATTCTTAATCTCCATTTCTTCTTTCCTTGTCAAGCCATGGACTCTTTCAGAGCACTCTTCACGTGCACCTGTATTCCTCCTTCTCTCCTAATCTAAGTGCTCTGGGTATCCCTCAGACATAAAAATCTTTCTCTCTGGCACCACATGTGCACATACATTTAGCTGCTTTCATCAGCAATCGCAATTAGTCAAGTCTCCATCTTACCCATCTCTTTATGGGGTCCTCCCACAGAAGCAGTTTTGCCTTCTACATTTGTCTGAGCCAAAATTCCACCTGTGATGGGCTTTAAAGGTCAGGAAAAATGAACGTATTTGAGGAAAGCTATCATGCATACCTGTCATAGTTATAACTGATTCTTCTTAGCTCCATGAGGCAATGGTGATTCATTCCCTTCTCTTTTCCAGCTAAAGTCAGGAATTGTGACTATATAAAATTGGTTACATTTATGTACTTAATGCACTACAGCTAAAGCTTATACTGTGATGTACTACATGCAGCAAGGATGGTCATTATAGTATAAATGCCTCAAAGCGTTCTGCAGAAGAGGGTCTTTGAAGCAGAATTGTTCAAAACTGCTGCTTCCTCCCATGCCCAGCCAAAGGAAGAAAACGATTAGCTGCATAATATTCAGTGACTGACATCTGTTCTATGACAACCGAGCTATTACATGATACAAATGAATTCTGCAGTCAAATTACTGTTTTTTTCCTGTATAACACAGTATGTAGGGGAATTATACTGGGAATCGAACTTAATTTTTTGTGCAGAAGTTGCGCAGTAAATTGCTTCATGTTTCTTTTTATTGTCGTGTATGCTCCCAAACATGAAAGGCCCCAAACAAAACAGAAAAATTGATTGGAAAAGACACTGCCTTGTCTTTGTGACAAGCTATGTCTTTGTATAGTGGCTAAAACAATGAGCCCATAGTCCCATTTTGTCTTCTGGTTGCTAGTGTGTAATAAATAGTACATTCATTAATAATTTAAATTGCAGTGTGCTACTTCGTCAGTCTTGAAGAGCTAATATACAAAGGTTGGTCAGAAGATTGCGTGGCTTATTTGAAAAATAAATACTCTGGTATTGCTTGATCCATTAAGGAGGCAAAAATGTCACAGGCACTGGTGTGGTATATAAGAAAGTTCCTTGTTACCCCAGGTAGGAGCGGAAGATCTTCAAGTTCCTTGGCACAGGGACTCCAGGATGGCACCTTCAACTGCAAAATACCAGTGTTTTCACTAATCCACTTCTTACCATAATATATTCTGATTATGCCAGGGGGAGGGAGGGAAGAACAGGTTCCTACTTTCTGCTGAACAGTGGTTTTGGTATAGTTTTCCATTATTTACATTAATTTGCAAAATCAGAATGAGGCATTTGTTAACAAACATTTTTGTAATTTAGAAAACAAGCCTATAATGACCAGTCTTAGACTCTGATACTGGTCAGAAATAAAAAATACAGTATCATCAGACTCATCTAACACCCAAAGAAGTGTAGTATTCGTTCCTTTTGACAAGAAACACAATTTCATAAATGCTTCAAGAGGTATTTAATATGAAGACATTAAGACTAGGGTAAAGCTTGCTTAGAGAATGAGTGAGGATCTAGGTATGCATTGACCTGCTCTAAAGGCATCTACTGGAATTAGGCATCCATGTTTCAGCTACGGATTTCCAAAGGACTGAGGCATTTGCTGGGGATCACACATGTCTTGTGCGCTCTAGAGGGCATTGCTGCCATCCTTATTCTGAAAACGAGACTAAATTGATGAACTCTTCCAATTCCCTTATTAACACTGAAATCATAAAAATATAGCTTTAAAAATATGAATGAAAACATAGACTTTCCTAACTGAAATACAGCCTTCATTAGCAGGACTGTTTTGAGGCTTTTTCTTCAGAAACCCATCTCCCTCAGTCAAGCAACTTGTCGTAGTTTTAATAACACGAATTGCTAGCTAGCAGCACTCAGTCTGTAGATGGAGCCAGAAGTGGCCTTTATCCAGGTGGTCTCTGATTTCCTTAAATAATAGTGCTGTGTTGAACAAATACAAAATCAACGTTAAAGAAGTCGTTTGATGTATCTTTTTCATACCTACTTTCAGTGTTCACTCATGATCCCGTATAGTGGTTGACAAATCCCTCTTTTCACTGCCAGTGGAGAATTAAAGGGTCTTTGAGGCACATCTTCTCCGACTGCGCTATAGAGTGGGACCTGCCACGGTGAGATGAATGTAGGCAGCTAATGAACCTCGGCAGGAGTTTTACCCGCAGCTCGCTCTTGTGGTAGTAACTGGGAAGTAAACAAACTTTAGACCTTAGCAGTTACCTTTTAAGTTTCTTGGAAGGTGCGTACAGTTTTTCAGTTTTGACTGAAGTGCCTTTTTCAAAGTGGTGCTAAAATTTAGCCATGCTGTGCTTTCTGCATTTCTTCCAAAGCCTAGACCCAGTGAGCTCCATAATTCTGTAGGCAGCTTCGGTGATTTTAGGCTTAGGCTTCATAGGCTGGAGCTTATGTGCACTTCAAGCGTGAAAAGGCAGAGTCTGCTTGCTAATTTACTCTGTAGTCTTATTCCTCAGACTCTCAAGATATTTAAGGACTCTGAGCTTGTACGTACAGTAATGATGATTTAAAATAGCTTACCTGGCTGTTAGAAGGCACTATAGTTGTTTCAGTGAAAGGTCACGCAGCTAGGAGAAGGAGCAGGAAGAAAGGGACTGGGAGTAAGGCCACTACCAGCAGCAAGTTTTTATTTTGGATCAGCTGAGTTGTTGACACTGTAATTTCAGCCTGCGGGTTCACGAATAACAGAACTAAGAATGGAAAGGGAGAGAAGGTCCTGCTCCTCTGGCTTTTATAACCAGCAATTCCAGTTCAATGCAATCACTTTCTCCCCTTTCCATCTACATTAAGTTTTCTGCTGTCTGGTCAGATGTGTTGGTGATTGGTGATGTGAAGAGTTTTCGTGGGTAGGAGAAATGGACTTGAGGAGAGGGTAATAGGACCGCTTCTTTTAATGAAAGCGTAGCTTTGTATTTTGAGTACAAAAAGGTGGAGAACAGTGACTGTACTTGTGATATATTACTTAAGCAATAAATATTTAGAATTGCAAGGGACTACGAGCAGATCTCATGGTGGAAGAAATAACTCCAGAGCAGATTCTGAAATCATGGTGTTGGGGGTTCATCTTGTTCTTCTAAGCAAGGATATTAGAAGCTAAAGCTTTGAGGAACCATTGCTATTTCAAGTAGCCTTTTCCCTTCTTTTTATGTTGTCTCATTGGGAGGCATTACTGTAAGTCTTGAGGTTGTCTGCTTTGGAAAATTCTGAGTTGTATTTTTCAGGTATGCTCTGTGGGTACTCACACATAATTTTTAGCCATTTTTAGTAGTTTGGTGGTTTCATTTTGGTAGTCTAACGATGACCTCCTGTCTCACTAGAAGTGAATGAGTGCATAATGTATTGTTCCTCTAACCACCCCATTAGGAAATTTCTCTTCCTAGATTTTTTCAGTTTGAATAAAAATGAGATTTCTAACTGCTTGTTTTTGGTGTAGTTGCCTGAAGTGCTTTCAGTGGCTGGCTGCCATAACTGTGTTTCTGTAAGTCAGAGAATTAACAGTTTAAGGTGTGCAGCAGTGTGAGGGGAGACTGTTAATCTGTGCTTGAAGGGATCTCTGTTGATTATTAACTCTTAGGTTCTTAGGTCCTCTGTTACTCGTCCTTTACCAATTAGGCATGTATTTATCTTCTGCATTTAGATTAAAGACAAGTATCAACAGTGTGTCAGCACTTCTGCTTTTGAAATGCTGTTGTAGCTTCTTCCATTGCTTTAGATGTCCATAGTTTGGAAGAACTTACAGTTAGTGAGGCTAAAAATTCACAGTTTATTTTTAGAAATAAGGTGACAGCTGTAAGTCTTATTTACTAAGGTATAGAATGCTATCAAGCTATACATGGCAACAGAATATCAAACCTAATGTGACATAAATGCACACAGGAAAAAGTAAGTTTTCATGTATACTCAAGGCTAATCCAAAGCTAATTTTGAAGTGAGTGAAATGGTATCCATTGGTTTCGGTGAGCTTTGGATAAGACTTCATGTGCAAGTGATCCAACCTGATAATAAAATGTATTGTTCTAGTGTGCATAAAAGACAAAATTGTGTGGTAGATAAAACACCATTAGGAAGAGATTGGTGGGGAGCGGTGGACTTATAGTCAAACAAGCAAGTGAAGTTACCCATCTTGTGAAGAGCACAGTAGTTAGTTCGAAACAAGTGGTGCCTGGATGTTGCATCTAATGTTTTTATTTCTTTACTTCAGCTATATGGAAGCCTTGCTCTACCTTATCTATGCTTACCAGAATAACAAAGAACTCTTGTCCAAAGGCCCGTACAGAGGGCATGATGAAGAGCTGATATCTCACTACAGAAGAGAATGTTTGCTAGTAAGTGAAGGATGAAGTATGTTTCAAGAAATAGAACTTGCTGCATAGCTGTAACAAAATTAGTTAGTAAAAAATAGTTGCTATCATGTAAAACAAAGCCAAAACCAATGAAAACACCCTTTCATTAACAGGTTAGTACTTCAGGCTTGTGTAAGGAAAACAAGCAAAAGTAAGAAGGAAAATGTTACTGGCTTTTTTGAATAATCAGTCATCTGCTTTATAATTGTGAATAGTGTGCTCACTGCCGTTATGTCTGGACTACATAGGAACTACAGTTGACAGTGTTGGTGAGCAGACTCACCCTGTTGCCGCAGTTTGACGGGGAGCAATAGTGAGAAAACAAAAGCAGGTGGCAGAACCTCAGTCTTTAAAAAGAACAGCTGCAAAGGTTGAGTTGGCGGGTATCAACTGAAATGGCCTGAGGAATAGCACCAGATCAAGTGGCTTAATAGAGCATATGCATCATTGTTATGAATGTTAAAGTGCAACTGTGGTTAATAAAAATTACCAGCTATCTTTGTAGGAAGACTATGCTTTAAACAAACAGGAACTGATGTGTGGCAGAATGTGAAATGCTGTATACTTAAAGGCTTTCCTTTTTTGTGGTGGTTTATGAAGAAACTAAATGAACATGCTGCAGCACTGTTTGAATCAGGAGATGATCAGGAAGTAAATAATGGCCTGATCATTATGAATGAGCTTATTGTCCCGTGTTTGCCATTACTACTGGTGGATGAAATGGAAGAAAAAGATATTGTTGCTGTGGAAGATATGAGAAACCGTTGGTGTTCCTATCTTGGACAAGAAATGGAACGTAAGTCATTTATTCATTAAGGTAAAAGGCCCTTGCGCACTTTTTTTTTTAATAATTACAGTGTTTTCAAAGTCTTGAATTGAGCCTATATCTTTTGTGCCTTGGTAATGTATTTGAGCTGCCCTGACTTTTGAATAATTCTGTACACATTTAAATAAACAGGTTTTCCATGTATCGCACTGAGGTATTAGGCCTTAAAGGAAACATGCTTTTTGAATGGAAAAAACAGTTGTGGTGTTACACCATCTGAAGGGGTATTTATATTAACGTCTTACTAGGAACTGGTACGTGCTAGTAGCAATAGCTGCCAGACCTGAAGAAAGTGGATTATTCCAGGTGAAACTCCTCTTCCCACCCAGCATTTTAAAAAAAAGTCAATGCTGGGCAGAAAAAGGAGATTCCACATGCAGACAGAAATGCTTATGTTTGTTTTTCTTGTTTTATTTGCAGCTAACTTGCAAGAAAAGCTGACAGATTTCCTGCCAAAACTGCTAGATTGTTCTACAGAGATTAAAGGTTTCAATGACCCGCCAAAGTTACCCTCCTACTCCACACATGAACTGTGTGAAAGATACGCCCGAATCATGTTGTCACTCAGTCGAACTCCAGCTGACGGAAGATAAATTCTGCAACCTTCCTAAGCACATTGTATAAACTTTTTTAGTTCTTAAACCTTGCCTTCCTGTCACAGGGTTTGCTTGTTGCTGCTATAGTTTTTAACTTTTTTTATTTTAATAACGGCAAAAGAGAAATGACTGTACAAACTTTAGCCAGACTGCAGACCGTTAAAGCTGAGAATCGCATGGCGCTCAGTTGTTTCAACCAGAATCGATGCAACGTGCAAGTCCGATCATTATGGCAAAACTGCTTTTTTTTGCCACTTATCTGTTACAGTATTACTTTGCTTTTATCTTAAGATCCTTTACTTTATCAACAGCTGTCTGGATCATTTTGTGACTGCAACTACTTTAAGTGTCCTGTGCTGTGTAAATACATGGCACTTGGTAGCTTGTAAATGAAATGAAAGAATAAAGTTTTATTTATGGCTACTTCTGTGTTTGCAAGCAGATACCTTGTATATTAGTGTAAAATATGGGTATTTTTAGAAGAGATACAGTATATTGATGGGCTACTCAATTTTATAGACAAGGGTCTTCAGGATTTATGTCCAGTTTAGTTACAGGTAGTCAGAGATTACTGTATGTGAATATATTGAAAAAACTGTCACAGTATTATACACTATGTTTTTTTGTATATTCTTTACTGGTCTGTATGATACTGCACCTGAACACTTTTGTGTGTGTGTGGCAATGCCAAGTCTTTTCTGATATTAGGGACTGGCTTCTGAAGCAAAACGTTAATGGCACCTTCCTTCTATTCTAGGAAAAAACTTAGGAAAAAAAAAAAAATCACAGTATTTTCAGTAGAAATATATTGCACCGTCTGAGGAAAATTTCTAGAAATTAAATGAAGGAAATAAAGGTTTTTAAAAAGTGGAATTTGTGAAGCTTAAGAATTAATAATTTTTTCTTTAATTGGTTTTTCAGTCATGTAAGTGACCAGAAATAAAACCTTACATTAATTCCTTACTTGAAGTGGGTTGCTATAGTTGCAACAAAATATCTCAGAAATCTTTTATCTGTCCTAATTAAATTTCTGTTGGAAGTGAAAGAAAAGATCTGTAGGGCTTGTTTTGTAGAACTGAAATACTGTCTGGGTTTAATGAAGAAACTTAATTATTTTGTGGAAAAAGAAATTTAATGCGTCCTTAGGTAATCTTGTTACCTGACAATATTTTGATTCCTACTCTTTATAGAGGACTTTTTGTGTTAGAACAGTAAAACATGTGAATATTTGTTTGTATGTTTTTATTGGAGCGGCACTCAACTTTTCGTTGCAGGCTTTCAAGTGGTGTTTATTTGAATATCTACTAATAAAAGAGCATGGAGGGAGGGAAGGAGTGATTAAGTTCAGACCACCTAGAAATGAGTGGGCATAAATGTGGGCATCTCATATGCAAGAAGAGGCAGAGTTCAGTCTTAATACGCATCAGTCTTGAAAGATGTTCACTCTTGAGAGATACTGGATTACAATATACAGTGACTAGAGCGTGACCTTCAGTTCAGTTCTTTTTAGGGATCTCTTCCTTTTCTATTTTCAATATTGGAGTGCTTCATACTTTGTCAAACTATCCATTTATTTTATAATTTCTTTTTAAAAAGCATATTGAACTCTTACAAGTGCAGTATTACTCAGGAGCCTTTTTTTAGGTCTGAAACTATTGATGTGTGAAATATCACCTTTCAAGGAAAAAGACATGCATATTATGAAAAGGGTGAAGATGCATTTTAAAAGATCTCACATTTTGCATCTGTTGCACTTCAATTTGAAACTCAAGAATATTCCTACTTAGCACTGTGTGGTTTTAAGCAAGGTTTTGAACAGAGTAGACTTCTCATTTGCCTTTTTCAATAATGGTAAAACCAATTAAATGTGAAAGAGCAATTTTATTCCTTTATTGCCAACAGGTTTTGAATTTGAATATTTGTGAAAACTTTTAGGGAAAGCTCCCCCGTAACCCTGCAGGAGCCAGTTACCCTCGCCTTCTGTGTAATCTTCCATCACAAACACAGGGGAAAAGGCACTCTTTCGAAGGTAAAAGAGGAAGAAAATATTTCACTTGGGAAGAGTATCTAAGATACTTCAATGAAAAGGGAGCAAGCAAGGACAAGATTATTTGTTGTTTTTGTTTCAGTTTTTTTCAGTTTCTGAAAGTATGAAAATAATCCATTGTAGTTTGTAGTACTGAATATAAGTGTGTATTCATTTGCAGTGACTTGAATTTTTGAGCTGAATTGAGAAGGTCTGTCTAGTAGAGCAGAAGTAAATATATGTGTATTTTACAATTTTAGTATCTTTTAAATATTTTATATGAATTTAAACTTTCAGTTAAATCATTAAGGTACTATTTTGTCTTAAAAACCTTCCTTTTTTCACTGCAGTGAATAGCTGATAGTTTGGATTCGCGATGCCTACCACAACACCTGTATAAGTAACTGTGTAAGGTAGTAAAGCATACAGTACATTTGGTTGCCTAATAATCTGTGACACAATTATGTAAATAGATATTTCTGTTCAGTATGGGAATTGTGAGATTTTTATCAGGGTTTTTTAAGTTTATAGAACACAAAAAGATTAAAGTGATTTAATCCAAATTCATTTACTAAATCACCTGCACCATCAATTAAATGCAAAGGTTTATTTTACCCAGATATTGCTTCATACTGTGGAGGACCCATAAGGCACCGCAGTCTTTCAGTTATGTTCCCCCCCCATGTGTCTTTTTGTTTGAGCAATCGTATTGCTGCACTTTAACTGGTATTTTGGTAATATCAAAACTCCTGTTGTTTTTAGTTAAAGCTGCCATAGCTGATGTATGAGTTCCAGCCTAGCAGAAAAACATGAACAGCAGCAGAATTAATCTGAACAAATGAAGAGGAACGATGAAGTCAGTTTGTAGTTCTTGGATGTGGTGATATTTGAAATGACACCAGATGCAAGGGGTAGACTTAGACCTTCGTTACTGAGTCACCCTTGCTTTCTGGACAGTTTGGACTATAACTGCAGGGAATGACTGACACAGTGAACAGATTTGCGCTAGAAAATGTGAATTACGAGCATAGTCAAAAGCATATGCTTTGTGTTCAAGCATTAAAAAAACACAGAAATCTGATATAATGTCTGTTAAATATCTTTCACATTATTTTTAGGCTACTCCAGTGTGCACATGAAGACTGCAGCTCCAGAAAGGTACCCGACATAAACAGTAGCACACAGGGAACAGTCTGATACTGTCCAACAAACATAAAGGTCCGTTAAGAGATACGGTGGTGGTGGTTTATATTCTTCATTTTGTGCTGTTTCCTTTTCTCAAAATCCAGTGTGTCCAGATGGCTGGGAGGCCTTATACAAACACAAGAATGTTGATGGAAGAAATGCACCACTCTATGTAATAAATCCTCATTTATACAGCATTTTCCAACATCAATAGACACATTAATTTTAAAAAAATATATGCTGGTTTTTTGTCTAGAAAGATGCAAGAAAAATTAAGTGTCAGTCATGGCACTGAGAGGATAGTGGTTCCGTCTTTCCGTTACTTGCTTCTGGAGAGGGCATTAATACAGATGGAGAAAAGCGCTTCTCCACAGAGGTCTTAGCAAAATGCAGTAGGTAGAATTCAAAAGGAGAGTGATTCTTTCAAGTGAAAAAAATTATTTTTCATGTGATTGTTACCCAGTTTTCATTTACGTGTTGTGTCCTTGAAGATGTTGTGAAATCCTGGGCTTGATGGATAAGCTATTAAATGAAAACACTCTTAATTCATAAGGAGCATCTTTCTTTGTAGGCAATCTAACAGTATCCATACTCCCCCAGCTGAGTTTCCATCAGCAGAACATTCCTGCTTGGTTCAGCTCTCTTGTTTCAGTATTGATCCTTATGGGAGCAAAGGTGCGAAACTTCTGCAGACACTGGTATTTCTTACAGCTCTGGTCACTGCTGCCATACACACATGTGCTCCAACTTTATTATCATGCCATTAAAATCTCGGACTTGGCTATGAACTTTTCCTCACCATGAATTTCAGATGTTCCCTGTAAGTAGCGGGAAGAGACTCTCACTTCTCAGAAACAGCTTCCTGAGCCAGCACTTCAAAAGAACAGCTTGACTTGCTTTCTGGGGAGTAGGATTAACCCAGATCCTCTTCTCACAGGCTGGGAAATGTGTGGTGAAAAAGGCTTATTTTCAGAATGGCGTTCACTGGGGTTTTTTGTATTTTGTATTTTTTTTTGCGTATGTTTTCTTCCTGCCCTGTTGCTCTGCATTTAAGTCACTGGACTTTGCAAGCTTTCTAGCTTGTTTTTTTTTTTGCTTCACCATCAGCTGGTCTAACCACTATGCCTTCGCTACCAGGTAGGGCTACCGATGTGGAACCAGGATTATTCTGCTTCCATCCGAGTAGTGTGGGCTTCAGTTTTCACCTCTGCAGGCTGCTGAGTGCTTTTCTTGGAACTGCTCTGGTGTGTATGCCTGCAAAGGATCTGTGGGTCAAGTAACACCGTCCACACACATGCTGTCTGGCAACTCAGTGCCTGAGAGTCTGAAATAGGAAAGGTATGGATAGTTAGTTCAAGCTGCAGATTTTTTTCTATATAGTCTCTTGGCATATTTAAAAATAAAAAGTGAATAATTTTTTGGAGACTAACTTAACCGGTCACTCTCTGAACTGGGCACTTCAGAAGCATGAGGGGTGTCCCATGCACTGTATCTCAGCACTAGAGGTTGTTCCTGGTCTTGAATAGTCTTCAGTACACTCTGATCCTCAGTGCTTCATCATGAATTACTAAAACTGCAGTCAAACATATATTTTGGCAAAATGCAGCTATGTGTTGCTGTGCTGGTTTAAGTTGGTATCTGTGCGGTCCCTAGCCATGTCTGTGTTCTGTGTCTAGGTATTTCCTATCACTTTGTGGGACTGTATCTTCTTCATTATCTGTGTTAAAGTTGTGTGAACCCATTTGTGTTTCACGGACACGTAGGCAACAGGGAGAACAATAATTCTTGTAGATGTCTTTCAAGAAACGAAACTCGTATTTTGTCTGTGACCTTAATCTGTAGCAGTGAAACTTTAATTGAACTGTGGACTAAGAGCTTGGAAAACCTGTGGGAGTTTGAAGAAGGTTTGCTTTTTTTTTTTTAAACAGAGGTAATACAGAATCACAAGGTAGAGGGAATTACTACATAAACGTAGTAGACTTTTATGTGCATTAGGGAAAAAACATTTTTTCAAGTAAGAAGTTTTAAGCAAAAGAATTGTTAAGTAACGTCATTTGAAAAACAAACCTCATGCTTTCTTAGGAAAGTGCTTGGAGAGTTAGGCTTTTCAGAGAAACCTTGATCGGTGGAACTGAAAATCTTGTAACATTTAATAGCTCAAGGTAATACATTCTAGTAATCTGCTTATAAAGCTGTTATGTCTGGAAATATT